AATATGAGGGCTCTTAGCCCAATAATGTTAGCTTTTAGGTCCTATTCTGAACTTCAAAACTGGTCATGAAGCATATACCTTTTATATCTTAATTTCTAATTAAGAAATTAAGGCCTTTAATGTTCTTACCCATTTCAACTTTACCGAATTAACACTGTGTATGAGTCTGCAGGGTTGGTGAAAAAGGTATATTGCAGGTGCATATAAATGTATGTGAAAGTTAAGATTAGAAATACTACTTATTTCAAAATATTGCTAGAATGACTAAACATTTCATGTAGCAGCAGACATGCTTATAAGCATTTGGTCATGGATTTATAGATGCAAGAAAGAAAAATACATTCTGAGTCCAGAGTTTCATTACTCTCATACTTGCTTAACAGTTTCAGATCAATTCTCTCTTTCAAAACAAATATAAATTCTTTATATTCTGTATATTAATTGGCTGTAAACCTACCAGTTCCAGCATGCAATTATCAGTGTAGGTTTTCCCTGAAGGTCCACTAATTTTTAAGACATTGTTATCACACATCTGCGTAAGCAGCTCTCCAACACAAAAATACACCTTCATTCTTCAACACACAAAATAGGTAAGATGGTATAAGATTTATTAATATTTTCTTTTACTAAGGCACATGATGTATAGAAATACTGAGGTACAAAAACGCAATTTCCTGCACATGAGATTTAAAGCCCCATTTTGACAAAGATCAGCTACATCTCTTCTGCTCAGAACATTCAGCTTTTAGCCATTTTTTTCTTTTGTACCAGTTCAACAAGCAACTTGTATCTTGCTATACACTCCTCCTAAAAGGAAAAACAAAAGTGTTAATTAAGTTTGGTATTTTAGTTCTGCTTTAACTCTATACATGCTACCTCATTCTAGAAGAAGAGCTAGGTTCTGGGGGTTGTGTGGGTTTTTAGGGGGTCTTTTTGGTTTTGCTTTGGTTTTTGTTTTTAAAGTAGTGCACTGAATTTCAGAGGGAGAATCTTTGTCTAGTGAAGAGCGGATTAGAAAAATGAACTTGCAATTTACATTTCTTAATGGATAATTTCTCTCTTTAAAGAGCACACAGACCCAAGAAAACAGTTGCCCAGTACTTCTTGACAATGACTGGAAAAGCAATTATTAAACAGTTGTATTGTAACACCTATTTCAGACCAGTTATTCTGCAGATAGGTAAGATAAGACTTTACGGTCACTAACATAGCACCCACTGACACCAGATACTGCTGAACAGCTTCAGGGCCAGAGAAGCACTCAAATCCCCCACCCACATTTTCTGCTCTATCACACTGTGCTTGGCGCAAATAAAATTAGGGTTTTCTGCAGCTACAATGACTGAAGCAAGCAAACTAAGCTATCACAACTATTATGAAATCTAGCACAGACAAACTATATCAATGACAAATGGCTATTTTAAAAAGATTATACTTACAAAAAAGAACATTAGATAGATTATTGAGCATTTAACACTTGTAGATGGATTACTTATTTTGTTTGTTCACTGAGATGGGTTGAGAAAGGTATTGTAAGGTATAAGTAAAGCAGCTCATCAACATTTGGTTACTAACTTTGAATCAAGATTTGTTTTAAAATCTAATTTGTCCTGCAATTGAAGATCTGAAAGGCAGAGGAGAGGTAGGTATTTTAAATGAAACAGGAGGTATTTCAACATTTTCTATAATAGATCAAACAGACTGAATTAAATGAAAATATGTTTTAAATAAAAACAACAAACATGACAGTAATGCTCTTTAGGTTAATTATGTCTGGACTGATAGGCTAAGTAAAGACCTCACCTTTCTGCATGGACCCTCAGTTCATAAGGTAATCATAAACTGGTAGAAAATATATTTCCCCCCAATTTATACTACAGTTCAAACAAAACTAAGCATACCTTGCTTTTTCCAGGAACACATTTTGCTATTTTATCCCAGCGATCTGATGTTCCCTTTGGATACTGCTGCAAGGCCATTTCAAGAAGTTTCTGTTGATTTTGAGTCCACAGTTCTTCTGGGGCACGGCTTTTCTCTCTTTTTCTGCTCTCATCATCACTCTCTTCCTCTTGCTCGGTGTTATCAAAATCCTTCTGGCGTCTTCCTCTGCCCTTCTCTTCTGGTACCGCTTTCATTGCTGGTAGAGTTATTTCAGGTGCTTTGACAATTTTTCGTTTGCGGTGTCTAGTTTCACTTGCAGTGATCTCCTTTTGATCTGTTTGGACATCCGTCTGCTCTGGGATACGATTGTAGTTCCCCTCTTCCTCCTCTTCCTCCTCCTCCCTTTCTCGCTGGGTGATTATGTGGTCTGGCAAATTCACGTTGACTTTGACATTCTTGGAATTCTGGGCCAGCGTTTTAAGCTCGGAGAGCCTAATGATACCTGTTAGAAGTATTGTTGTTACACTTCTAAAAAAATAAAACCACAAACAAGCAGCGAACTGCCCACAAATAAAAGGTACCTGGAATAATGCAGAGAGGAGAAAAAAGCTCTTCTAGATTAAGAGTTTAAGGAAAATGCTTATCAAGAAATCAAGGTACTTGTTATGAAGCAATGAACTTTGCCAATTATGAGCTTATCTGGTATGTGTGAAGTATTAGTAAATTACCACACTGATATAAACAAACATAACACAACAGAGCCTGAACAAATGAACAAAACCCACAATAAACTGAATAAGAAAGCCTGGGAGGATGTAGCTAAAGGGAAATGTTCCCTCAGAATACCCATAAGTTCTTCGCTCAAAGTAAGGCAAGGTTGCAAAAGTCTCTCTGCAAAGCATACCTCGAAAGGTACAAAATGCACTGTATTTGCATGGCTACAATCCAAATACAGTGCTTTTTATACGTGTCAGTGAGGATGTAGTAGCACACACCTGGTGTATATGTAACAGAATCCTTTAGTTGTTTGGCTTTCATGGTAACCTGCATGAAAACAACAAAAAAAGGAACATTAAAAAATTACATTATTTGGGCTATAGAAGAATTCATTAGCAGCTTACTGCAAAATACCAATATTGAACATACATTAAATACGGCGAGGCTGATGTTCTTCTGCTGGCTTTGTTCATATATGGATCCCAAACTGGCAAAAAGAAACTTTCTAGACTTTGTCCTTTCTAAAACATTCCTAGCTTATTAAAATAATGTAAGCAATGCTACACACTTCTATTACTATCACCATAATACATCACAGTTGATATTAAAATTTTATTTTCTTTCGTTGTTAAACCCTAATTCTCTAACCTAAAAATACCACAAGGAGAGGGGGGAAAAGGAAACAAATGAGTTATCTTCTATATATTAAGTTTCTCAATACTGAACAAAGGAACAAAATAACCCACGTAAGTCCAGATGATGAAGCACGCTAATGGACAGGCATTCAGTCCCGTACTAAAATGTAACAGTTTGACTGCCAAAGATCAGCAAAGACACCTCCTAAGTCCTGATACTTCAGGATTAAAGTTTATTACTGAGAATCCAAAGGATGGAGAGCTGCCTGCTTCAGCCTCTCCATGTATACCGGAATCTGCATCCTGGGAGAACAGTAGCACCAGATTTCGCATTATCATTTTTACTTAAGTAAGGAAACAAACAGGCTTTTGCCCCACCTAGAATGAGGAGCTTCCCGATTCCAAATTTCTATACTTCACTATAGATAACAAAGATGACAAGCTTCATATAAAGTTAAGATCCTTTTAATCACTTGGCATCTGTGTTATATCAAATGACCTACAGTCCAAAATCCAAGTACCACATAAATGCATCTTAAAATGTAGTACTCAAAGAAATATACACACTTATTACTGAAAATGTTTTAGGAATACCACATTCAATTTTAGTTTTTTGAATATGAGGTCTTTGTGAAGAAGCTAGAAATTGAAATCAAGTAGTCTGAGTCACCCAAATAAAATAAAACTTAAAATGTGAACAGGCAACGCACTGAATCAGAACCGATACTGCCTGGGATGGGGTAACCTGTGTTACCCTTTAGTAGCACTAGCGAACATACCTGCCAGGGGATTGTACAGCTATTTGCTGGAAGAAGAAGAAAATATAAAGCTTTGGGACTTCTGTTCTACGACAAGATTCATAAGCGAGTACTTCAATAGTTAAAAATACTCTGGTACCATCTGCTTGTAGTTTAGTCTGTTTGGTTCCTCCCACGCACCTTTCTGCCCATGAAATTGCAGGACTTTGCTTTAAAAATAGGCAAGTGCTGGATCTCCTTAACAAAATGACAGCAAGACTTAACAAGGGAAAGTGACCTCTTTTCCCTACAAACTAAGCCTCATTTCCTGGGATGATTAAGTTTAAATGAAAATTCCACAAACAAAAAAATCCCAACTCTAATTAACCAAAACCTTTACCCAGAGGTAGACATTTGGCATAGAAAACTGCAGTTTCTACCGTTGCAGTATGATAAAGTTTTACTTGTTCAAAGCGAAATCTCAGAATACTAATATGAACAGATAATTTTAAGTAGCACTAACAGTTCTGTCTGTGATCTGTGTGATCCTGATTTTGAAACAACAGGACGGATCCTCCTTGAAACAGGTGATCCACTAATAGAAATTGCCTTCCTTGAAGAGTTTATAGCCTAAAATAATCCAAATTAAAATGTTCGCGTTCCATTTTAATTATTAGCAGAGTGCCTCTATAGGGCCAATGCTTTAAAAAGCTGAGTGGAGGGGAATCCATTCTTGACTGCTGAACAGAATCGATCGTTAGTGGTGTCCTGCTATGCATCTCTTAAATAGAAATTATGTTATATAAACTGGATATAATAGATTATTTTGAAAAGAGCAAGAACAACTTGTCATGCAAACAAGTAGCTGATCCTTTAGAGCTTACGGCAATGATGCAGTGGATTCATTGCAAATATGACAAGACATTATCTATGTACGTTCATGTATTCCAAAAAACTGTTTCTAAACCATTTTGTTATTTTTTTAAGTACTTCTTTCCAAGATCTGCAGCCTACTCATAAGGCCAAGAAGGCAGGAAAAAGACAGAAGAAAAGATTCCCTGAACACAATAGAGCAGAATAAACTGCAAGCAAAGACAAAGACAGCTATACCGAGTTGCTACGTCAAAGCCAATGTTCAATTTTCTCCATGTTGAACCTCTGACATTTTCAGAGGTTGGCAATCACATTTTATCTTTCAAACTGAGACAACGCATACAACATAAACTTGGCATTGGAAGTGGTGCAAATCAATATGCTGGATTCAAGATTTCTTTACAAGACAGATGTTCCCAAATTAGGTTAGTGTAGGTATCCCATAACAGATACAAATTTTGCTGCATCTTACATCTACTTTAACTGGAATCCAAACCAGTCCTCTCCACTAGAACAGTGAAGGATTAGGGTTTATTCCTAGATCCTAATGGCACTTCACATTTCTTGCTACATGCAAAAAGTTCAGTAGTAACAGTCTTGCCATAGGTTAGCTTATTTTAGATAACTTCAGCCATAATAACTTGGTGAACCCAGGTGTAGCATTTGTAGTAAGTTACTCCATTTATCACATCTAATATTTCCAAGACTTTCTCTTTTGAAGGCATTATGATATCTGTCCATACTTTGATGGACTTTCAATTTGAACATTCACCAGGTAAGCTGGAATTAACAACTGTGTGTATGGTTTAGATTTTTCAATCTACAGTTTCAAACACTGAACAAGCACCTTCAGTTGACATAAGTTTGACAACTCATCAAGCTTCTTACTCACAGCTTTACTATCATCATTCACAGGTTACACGAGAAGATTATTTGTCTATTCTTTTTTTTTGGTCAGCTTTCTTCTTCATACAGAAGATTTTTCAAGTCCTTTTCCAGGTGCTATGTACAGTTCATGTTTACTCCAGCTCTTTTTACTTAGAGTTCAGGTATCACTTATTTAGACTTAAGATTTATTTGTCCATCAGCTTCAACTGTCATTGCCGTTAAAGATGCTGACACAGGGCAAGAATCATAACATGTCAGTATTAAACTGCTAAGGATTATTAGGAATCCAATCTATGGAACATACAAAATTGTATTTCAATTTGATCTGTTTGAATTTAATCGTTGTTCTTTCCACTCAAATTTGCAGACTCTTCTGTTGACAGTCCCTCCATACTTTCTGACATCCTTAATATCAATTTAAATTTCCTCTCCAGTGATGAGTAGTGTTATCTACTAGCTAGTTCTTAACAGTGATTTAAAAAAAATATAAATCGCTAAGTCATGCAATGTAAGTTAATCCATTGCTTTCTCTACTCAATTTCTTATAATAACTTGCTTATAATAGTACTTTTTCATTAGGTAACAGATAACATACCTGGAAATACTGTTACTCAAAATATGAAGCAGTTGTAGAATTACTCTTCTAGTTATTATTGCTGATTGTTCCTGCATAATGCTTTAAAACTACAGTTTTCATGTATATTAAATTATGAATTTTAACATGACTGTGAGAAGTTGTGCTAAAAGCCTGCTGGTATTGACAACAGCTTTCACCAGAGTATTAGCCAGCCCTTAAGAAATCCTGGGTCTGGGGACATCTTGAATAGTAAGGATCAAGGCTGTGAAATTGATTTAAAACAGAAGAGGGCAGATCTCATATTCCTGCAACAGGCACACTGCATTATTTTATAGGAATCAACTTTAAACGTTGCTGTTTCTATGCCCAAATAACCTAGGCATCCCTGTAGTCCACCAGGGATAACAGAAGTCACAAATAAAGTCAGGTAATCACATGCACAGTGAAACAGATTTTCTTAGAGAAAGTTGACAAAAAAAAAAAAAAAAGTTGGATGCAAGCAATCAAATTGCTGAAGTAGAAATCAAACCATTTTACTATAGGACTTACAGAAAGAAGCCACAGGAACAGTTTGCTTCTGAGAACTCCTTTCTGAATTCAGTTTCAATAGCTCTTCAGCTACAAAAAGATTTTATTGAAAGCAAGCGGGATTAGTGGGATGATTTTATGCAATGAAAGCCAGACAGCGCTGCTTGCCTCCCGTACTGCTGACAATTAGTCCAGATCACAAGACTAGTTGCTACTCAACAAGACACCTAGCAGTAAAAACATTCCTCATCATGACCATCCAGATGTTAAATCTCTTGTTACTCTGGACACCTGCCACCTCTTTTAGATGGGACAATTGATGCTTCAGAGATATACAGGAGAAAAAAAAAATTATTGAGAGTCAGCTTAAAAGAGTCTCAGTAGCACAGGCAAAAGCAAATTTTGCTATCACATGAATGAGAGCTACTTTTCATCCTGCAGGGAAGGCAGGTATAAAAAAAAAAGCAGAGAATTGTGACAGACCTAGAGGGAAAACTCTCTAAAGTCAGGTACAGTGATTCTACTGATGCCAAACAGAGAGAAACAGCCCTTTTGCATAAGATGAAGAGCAATTCCCCATTCCCACAGCAGCAGCCATCACTTCACTTCAGCTGACCCCTCCAGCGCCACAACCAGCCCAGCTTCGCCAGGCACACACCGACGGGGCTTTGAAGTCTTCCCATTTTGCTGTCTCCTGGCAATCTTCTGCGGGCAAGAATCTACCTTCTTTCTCTGTTGATTAGGATTGCACCAGATACTTACAGAATTAAAATCTCCTGGGTTCTGACAACATTCTGAGAAAATAATGTGGGGTTTGTAGAGGAAAAAATAACCCATGTCACTTGGCTTCCCAAATGTATATAACCTTCTTGCAAGGAAGGATGATACGTTCTGTGCTACTGAAAACTAGAGGTTCTGACAAAGTTGTTTACTATTCTTAGCATCTTCCTGAGCAGAAGTTCTCTAAAAATTTACTAAAGCTGCCACAATTTCTCAGCATCAACTATCAGAAATTTGCTGTCCCAGTAGCAGTGTTCTGTTCACCCAGCTGTTACCTTCCTGCATCTTCTCCGTCTAGTTATGTCATGC